TTGCACAGAAAACCCCCTCAACTTCACTGGTGTGTAGGTGATCTAGTATTGTTTAATGGAATGTATATCAGTGTATTAAAGTCAATACTTAAACCAATATCTTTCTTGATTCTTTGTACAGTAGGAAAAAAATAGTATTTGTAACTCTGCTGAAGTTCACTGCTGTGAGGAGTCCAGTTCTGTCTCTCACTCTCTGGTCCAGCCTGTCTGCATCACCTGGAGACCTTAAACAAACAGATATTTATGTAAAGTACCATGTGTACAGACAATATAACTGATTATCTTCTGTTGAACATGTTGGATTGTGTATTGTCCGAGTCAGGGTCCTTTTTATTTTACTATAACTTTGGAAGTTGTGTTACCAATGCTTGCTGTTTATTTGATACCCATTTGGGAATGCAATTAATAAAAACAACAAGGTTTGGGTTCGTTCTTCATGACTGATGTTAACGTGTAAGCTCAATAATGAACTCCAGCTCAACCAACCATATTGTAATATCTAAGTAATCATCTTGAAATATGACATTAATAATTGTAATATACACACATCTTATTGTGAGGTTGATTTCACATACACTACTTCGACATTAGTTGTCTACATACTTGAGCATAGCCAATTTAAATTAACCTTAGTGATGCATACAGTTCCTACCTAAATAATAATCATCTCTCAAAGTTACAAGGATGACCTTATTTTACCAACCTCAAACAGAAGCCGTTTGTTGTACAGTATTAGCCCACTTAACACTTGTCTATTTCATTTTAACGTTTTTATATAGTCTATGATTTTAACTTGGAGGATACTATTAGCATCGTTAGCACCGATGTAGCTACCACTAGCTTACACGCTAACTCAAGCCGTAACATTAATTACGTAGCTGATTAAAATCATTAACACATAAATAAGTACTCGAATTTCACTTACCGCAAAACCGCATTCATGCAACGTCTGTTTCAACCGCAGAGCGAGTCACAATAGTCCGATATGAAGAAGACACAAACACGGCCGGGGGCAAGCCGGTTCCTTGGATGAGCTGAACAGGCAGAGTGCCTGCCTGTAGCTTCAGCAGTCACTTCACAGAGCCGTCACTCAATGTGACCACGCCCTAATTTATGCAAAAACTTTAAGACCTAATATAAATAAAAGGGTCGTGTTAGAAAACAATTCACTCACAGATCCATAATCATGAAGGTGGAATCTAACTATATTCATAATAATATTTATTGCATCCATGGGTAGAAACATGTTTTTTTCTGCTGTAAAGTTGGGCATTTTAACATGGGGGTCTATGGAAATTGCTCCTTTCTTCAGTCAGTCCCTATCGGCCAATATATGAACTGCAGTGTGTGCTACTTCTGTATTGGCGTCCCGGCTCTTCCACAGAGTTTGCCGCTTGGGTTCGCCACAAAAAAAAAACTCACATGAACATCGCTACATATTTCAGCTCAGAGGGAGATGGCGCTGTTTCTTCTTTGGTGGTGTGCAGCATTACAGGCGTAGAAGAAGAAACAGAAGACATCATGGAGGAAGTGCCGCTGAGTCACACAGCTCACCCGGTTAAGTAGCAAGTTTTAGTTGAAATATATAAATTCGACTACCGTTGTTAGTTGTATCCTACCTATGGCGGAGTTTGGTGAGAGAAACGGCCGTGAAGCTGAAGAACACGACGGGACACAGATCAGAGATGTCCTGGAGCCTGTGTGCGGGACAGGTGATCCCACGGTAACAGTCCCGCGGGGACTGCGGTGCTCTAATCCTGAGCGCAGGAAAAAGTTAGTCCTTCATGTAGACCTGAACAACACCATACTGGTGTCGGACTCTGTGATAGCTCAAGGGACGGTAGCTGCCCTGGAGCATTTCCTCTCAACTGTCACCTGGGGAAGGATGAGCAAAGGTAAACTGAGAATTAATACTTTTCTCTATCACACTAGGATAGTGTTTCTGCCCTGTCAGCAAAGTTATTGTTCCTGCCTCTGTTCCAGATTAATACGCCGAATTAATTTTAAGAGTCCAAAGGAAAAAAGCAGTCCTCTTCCTCCTGTCGCCTTACCTTTACGATGCTAATATGGGAGTAAACATTTAATACACGTTTTTAATAAGTGAGGTTTGGTAGCAGGGTTGATTCTATTTCTATGTTCAATTGCTTTCATTCCTCTTATGTTATGTATTCTATTTAGTATATTTTATTATTTTTCTTTTCCAAATGTTTCTTATGTATTGCATTCAATTTTTGTTTTATTTCCCACCTTTTTTTTTTTTATTATTATGGTTTGCATTCAATTCAGTATATTTTAATCTATTTATTTTATTTTCCATTAATTATGGAAATATATCCTCTTATGTTAATTTATGTCTGTTTTAATTCCCTTGTGTAACATCCCTTTTGATGCATCCCTTGTTATTCAAACACCCCTATGCTGCCTGAGGTGATAATCATTTAATGAAAAAAGTGGGATGTGTACATCATCAGCCAACAGAGAAATTAAATCATTAATATTATTTACCCTCATGTCCATGGCTACACTACTGCATTTATATTCCGTACATAACCAAATATATTACATTTCATTGAGTGCTTCAGAATTTGCTAGTGTGCACCCCAAATCATTCCGTGATGTTTTATGTTCTCACCACTCGCAAAGACATTGTCCTCCTCTCCTCTCTGCAGGGAAGTGGGAATGGCTGAGTGGCTCCCCCTCCCTGCACCCCCCCTGCGATGGTGCTGTTAGCTACCACTCTCATTTTGGACGGACGGCAGGTTTCTCCTCCAATGTGGGCCGACGTTTCCGAGGGATTCTGGAGGAGCATCTGAATCTGCTGCGCTGGCCCGAGGGCACCAAGGCAAGCTTCATGTGATTGTTATTGCTAACAAAAATGACATCCATTGGAAAAGTTTGTCTCATTTTGAACTAATCTGCAGATTAATTCTAGACAGTATCTGTCTGATATTTTATGACCTACTACAACAATACAATATGAAGAAATCCCCTTAGGAAAATTGTAGTAAAGGCATCACAGCTTCTTTACTCATTAACAATCTTAATTCATGTTTATATTCATAATGCACTCGTGGAGTTTCTAGTGTAGTGTTAAGCTTAAGGAGGTATTTTCTATCATAATAAAATTAGAATGTTCTGCAGCTTTACCAGTTGCCATGAGCTGTTGGACATGCAAATGAAACCCCAAGTTGTAAAAGTGGCTTCTCTCATGGAGGGTAACATTTCTGTATAAATGCCTTTTTTCTATTTCTTCCAAGCAGTTCTTAGCCTACTTATGGTTAGAACAAAAACATTTATTTACAGTTTGGTTATTTATTTATTTCATTTTCTCCACTGTGATATTAAATGTAAAATTGTGTTTTTTTTATCTCATTTTATTTCACATGTTTATACTGTTTACTTATTTCTGCATTTACTTTACCTTCATATTTCGATTTGTATTTCTTCTTGCTTTATTTTTATGTCTCTATTATCCTAAATGTTGCATTGTTAGAGGAGCGTGGGATGTATATTTTCATTGCCAAAACCACGCTGTAGCCATTGTGCATGGGAAATGAAGTCTGTTAATATTGAATCTTGTTCCCTTATGGTGGAATGTGTCACTGACTGCTTTCTTCCTGTGTTTCCTGCAGGGAGACAAAGAGCTGTCTGTAAAGGGTGAGGGGGGGCACCTGTACCACTGGATCCTGCCCTCCTTCTTCCAGCTGCTCACAGACCTGGTGCAGGAGGGACAGGAATTCGCCATTGTTTTCCGTTCCTTTGGAAACGACCTTCCTCGTGTGCTGAGTGCTGTGTCAAGGGCTCTGACTGAAGGCGCTCACCCCCTGTTCCCAGATCTGCCCAAACTCAAGGTGAAACACACACATCCAGTAGTGTTGTCTGTATGTTCTCTTAAGGCCCAGATACACCGGCCCGAAATCGGCAGTAAATGGGAGTCAGGCCGAACCTGAGCGTGGGCACGCCCTATTCGGAGTGGTGTGCGCCGCACCGTCGGGTCTTTTCTGCCGACCTGACGCCTTTTCTTTGAATCGGCGTCGGGA